AAACAAAAACATGAAGCGTAGCTGGGCATGAAGGCACACACCTGTAATCTCAGCTCCTTGGGAGACTGAGTTAGGAGGATTGCAAGTTCCAGTCCAGCCTGGACAACTTAGTGAGATCCTGTCTCAAAATAAAAAGGGCTAGTGGTGCCATGACTGCCTCGCAAGCACAAGGTCGTGAGTTCGATACCTGATACCAGAAAAAAAATGGGGGGAGCTGAAGATATAGCTTAGTGCTATAGAGCACTTTCCTAGCATACACAAGATCCTAGGCCTCAGTACTACCGAAAAAAAAAAAGGAAAAGGAAACAGCATATTAAAAAGAAATAACAGGAAATGAGTGATTCACATGCAAGGGCTGATGAGAAAGAGTGGTAGATAAGACAAAGAGCTTTGACCAACTTGTTGAGGAGTTTGAACTTTATTCGGTAGATGGTGGAAAATAGCATGGTCAGCTTCTTTCACCCCGTGATAAATACTAAAGAGCTGCTAATGTGATAGACCTGTCTCACTTGCTGTTTGTGAGGTAATAAAAGGAAAAGGAAGAAAAAAATAAAACACTTTTGGAACCCTTCATTCCTTCTGTGTCCAGTTATTTTTGTTTTTTTCTGCTTGGGAGAAATGGATAGTAAATGGCAGCCCACAAAGCTTTTTCTAGGGCACACATTGAAATGGACAAAATAGGCTCATCTTTCTAGTTATTTCTTTATTCCATTTCTCTGTCAGCTGGATTCTTGCTTGTTCCTTGGCACACAAATGAGACCCAGCCCCCATCCTCAATAAGCAGCCCTGTGGGGAACCCAATGTGTACTTGAGGTAAATGCTGCAAGTGCTTAGAAGGAAATGTTCATTGGGTAATATGAGGTCCCAAGTAAGGAGAGGTCAGTTTGGGAGAACAGAGTAAGAAACACTCCCCAGAAGCAGAATATTTAAAGCTGAGAGAAGTGCCTAGCTAGCTTGTGGAGGTCCTGGGTTCAATCCCCAGCAATGCCCCCACTCCCACCCAAGAAAAAGATGAGAGCATTGTAAAACTATTCCTGGAAAATTAGCATGAGCAAAGACACGAAGCATGAAGGAAGAATAAAGAAAGTAGCCAGAAGTGCTAGAGAAATTTCAAGCTGACTTAGGATGGAAGAGGAAGTGCTACAAGAAAAACAGGTATACCAGGGCCAGGTCATGACAGACTTGCTTGGTTCACTCAGAGACTTGGATTTGATCTTGAGGATAGGATTCTTTAAGCAGGGCAGTGCCATTATCGGCTCTGCTATTTGAAAAAGATCTTTCTAGTAGCTGTTGAGGTGAGGTTAGCAGGAGACTGGAACAAGAGGAAACTGTCACAGTTGTCATGCAAGGATGATAAGGGCCTGTGCTGGTGCAGTTCACTACTTGTAACTTCCCTGTGGCGCCTCATCTCTAAGAGATCTGGGTCAGCAACTGAAAAGTGAGGGCTTGTTACAAAGCAACCAACTCATCTCATATATAAACCATGGTTCTGACTTCTCACATTAGCCAAGGAAAAATAGAGCAAGGGCAGTTCTGGGAAGAGGGCTTCACTGTCAAGGAAGAGTCCATGAAGGCCGCCGACTCCCAGCCTCCTTGGTGATGTTATGGACACGGAGGAATGAGAAAATGCAATGAAATTTTATGATGTTTTCTAAAAATGGATCAATTTGGCTTACCAAGATATAATTTATATACCATAAAATTCACCCTTCTAGAGGGTACAGTTCAGTGAGTTTAGTGTATTCACATAATTTTGCAATCATCACTGCTGTCTAATTCTAGAACACTTTCATCACCCTATACAGAAACTCAATAGTAGTCACTCTCCATTCTCCCAGTCCTTAGTAACCACTAATAATGTTCTGCCTCTGTGGCTTTATATATTACTAGATTTTTCATGGAAGTGGATCATACAGCCTGTGGTCATTTCTGATTGGCTTCTTTGACTTAACACACAGTTTTCAAAGTTCATCCATGTAGCATGTATCAATAATTCATTCTCTCCTCTGTATGGCTGAATAATATTCAGTGTTACAGCTGTACCACATTTGTTTATCCATCATGAGGCAATGGACATTTGAGTTGTTTACATTTTTTGGCCAGTGTGGATAATGATGTTATAAACATTTGTGTACAAGTTTTTGGGGTTTTCTCGTTTGTTTTTTGTTGGGTTTTTTGTTTGTTTTGTTTTTGGTACCGGGGATCAAACTCGGGTCCTTGCGCTTGTGCAGCAGGCCGCGAAAACACTGAGCTAAATCCCCAGCCCGTGTACAAGTTTTTGTATAGACATATTTTTTCATTTCTCTTGGATATATCTTAGGAGCAGAAATGCTGGCTCATGTGATGACTATGTTTTAAGTTTTTGAAAAAATACCAGACTGTCTTCCAAGGTTAGCGGTTTTACAAAGATGCCCTTTATCAGGTTTAGGATGTTCCCTTCAGCCTCTACTTTTTTGGGTGTTGTTATCATGAGGAGCTACTAGATTTTATCAAGAGCTTTTTCTGGATCCTTTTCAGATGTTAAATCAAGCTCACATTCCTGGAAAAATCCCACCTTGTGGTGTAGAATCCTTTTGAAATGTTGTTGGACTAGGTTTACTAGTATATTATGAAGGATTTTTGCATCTGTGTCCCTCAAAAATAGTAGTCTGCAATTTTCTGGTAATGTTTTTGTCTGATTTGGTCATCTAGGTAATGCTGGCCCTTTAAAAATTGAAGGTATAAAGTACTCCCTCCTCCCCTGTATTTTGAAAAAGGTTATGAATGATAAGTATTACAACTGTAGAATTCACCAGTGAAGTTATCTAGTACTAATTTTCTTCTTTGTGAGAATTTATTTATTTACTCATTTATTTTTGTGGTGATAGGGGTCAAACCCAGGGCTCATGCACCCTAGGCAAGCACTATCACTCAGCCACATCCCCACTCTGAAGTTTTTAACTTACTAATTCAGTGTTTTCCTTGTTATAGGTATCCATGCAGTTCTACTACTTTTTCACTTTCAGCTCTGAATATTCATTTAAGAAATATTTATTGAATGCCTATTTTGTTTAGAACCTGATCTTGGGACAGAGTTTACAAAAATGAATAAAACAGGGCCGGGGATTTAGCTCAGTGGTTCTGCCACCTGCCTTGCAAGCACAAGGTCCCAAGTTCTATCCCTGGTACCGAAAAAAAAATTTTTTTTTTTTACTAAAACAAGTCTTTAACCTCTGGGAGCTTTGCTTTCTTATATTCTTTCCCTCACTCTCATGCTCTCTCTCTTTCTCTATGTACATATTTTTGTTTATTTATATTTAATGTAGGTCTAGTGCTTGTAAAGATATTGTTACATCCCATTGGTGGAGAACAGAGATCCTTAAGCATGCCATACATAGTGGTAGTTTAAACTCTCAGGTACTCTTGAAAATTTTGTATTTATGAGAAATGGAATGTATTATCATTATCATTATTACAAGCACAGTTTATGTCGGTGTATATCCGTGGCATTTCTTCAAGGAAACCACCACACCTACTATTTATGTCACCTGTTGCCTTCCACTCTGTGATCATCAGTGGGAGCATGTGTGAGTTTCCTAGGACAGCTGTAATAAAGATTGTAATGGATTGCTTAAAACAATAGAAATATATACTCAGGCAGTTACAAAGGATAAAGACCTGAAATCAGAGTGCTGGCAGCAGGCTATGCTTCCTTTGAGACACAGGGTAGAATCCTCTTTCACCTCTGCCTGGCACCTCATAATGGCCATCAGCCCTTGGCATTCTCTCACTTGTAGTTGCATCACTCCAGTCCATGCCTCTGTCATCATATGCTATTTTCCCTGTTTGCTGCTGTCTTCACGTGGTGTTTTCTTCTAGTGAGGACACTAGTCACATTGGGTTAGGGCCCACTCTAATGACCTCATCCTAACTTGGTCTGTTTCCAAATAAGATTGCATTCACAAGGTACCAGAGGTTAGGCTCTCATGGGGGCAGGGGGAGGGGGTGATTCAGCTCATAACAAGGGGTTATGCTTTAACTCTGAGGTCTTGACCAAAGGCCTCATTTTAATCACATGACCAATTAATTGTAATAAATCTTATGGAAGTTTTATGGTATATTTCTCTTACTTAAAAAAATTATATCCTCTCTTCATTACATAAGTTCTGAAGATATCATTGAGCCCATATGCTTTATCTTCTGGGCAAAAGCATTAGACACTAAGCAGAAATAAGGGGTTCAGTATAAAAGTTCCAAAAGTAGTGCCTCTTAAATTATGATGTGTATATGCCCCCCAAATAAAAGCAGTCACATGAGTTTGTGACTGACTGTCTGGAACAGCAGTTGCCTGCTTTGTACACTTACCATCACAGGAATCTTGTATACCAGTTTAGACAATGTCAGAGTCCATCTCTAATGAAATAAAATGACATGGCTTAAGCAATTGCATTTATGTGTGATAGAAAATGCTGTATACATGACAAGTGTTATACAAATGAATATAAAATGACAAATGCTATATACAGCACACATCTCTCTGGAACGATATTAAAAGAACAAAACATTATCTTCTGAGCCCATGGGTCCCTGTTACTATTTTCTGCCTTTTTCAATAATGCTCCTGAGCATTTTCTTGATCCATAAATGCTGTCTGTCATGTCCACTCCATCACAGTGCAAATGTTTGTGAGTGTCTGTCATTCCTTAGTATTCTGGTGTGGTGAGTTATAGTGCTCTTGGGGCAGGACTGAAGAGTCTAGATCCTTTTTTGTAAACAAAGCCCATCACCCAAACTAGTGCCCTGTTCCTCTGGCAGAGAAATGATGAAACATTATTTATATTTGTTGTTCCCTCCAAGTCTTGGACTCATAGCTTCAATGTTCAAGTATTTGTTCTGTGGTTGTTTTCCCATTTTGAATGAAAGCACTAAGTCTTACATTTCCCACAACTACCTCACTCATTTCTACTCAAGTCTCAATTATGAAATAAAAATTTTCATTTAATTGTTTTTTTCTCTTCTAGGGCAATCTAGAGCAGCTATGATACCTCCCAAGCATCCACGCCAGCCCAAGGGAGCTTTGGACGATGCCATTGCCTTTGGAGGGAAAACAGACCAAGAAGCACCAAATGCTTCCCAACCCACGCCACCCCCACTGCCAAAGAAAATGATCATAAGAGCCAATACAGAGCCAATCTCCAAAGACCTCCAGAAATCCTTGGAAAGTAGCCTTTGTGTCATGGCTAATCCTACCTATGATATTGACCCTAACTGGGATGCCAGCAGTGCTGGCTCTTCTATTAGCTATGAGCTCAAAGGTCTGGACATTGAGTCCTGTGACTCCTTGGAGAGACCTCTGCACAAGGAGAGACCTGTCCCTTCTGCTACAAATAGCATCTCCAGTTTAACCACTCTCAGTATTAAGGACAGGTTTTCTAATAGCATGGAGTCCCTGACCAGCCGGCATGGTCCCTCTTGCAGACAGGGCCGAAGCATCCAGAAGCCACAGAGACAAGCACTTTATCGAGGCCTTGAAAATCGAGAGGAAGTGGTGGGTAAAATCCGAAGCCTTCATACAGATGCCTTGAAGAAATTGGCTGTTAAATGTGAAGACCTCTTCATGGCTGGACAGAAAGACCAGCTCCGCTTTGGCGTTGACAGCTGGTCAGACTTTAGGCTAACCAGTGACAAACCATGTTGTGAAGCAGGTGATGCTGTTTACTACACTGCTTCGTATGCAAAAGATCCACTTAATAACTATGCAGTCAAGGTAAGAAAATATTACAATCTCATTTTAATCTTTGCAAAGATGCTGATACTGGGATGAGTCCATTCTTCTTTCCCTCTTTCCTTCCTTCAGTTTTTCCATTCTGCCAGTTAGTAATCCTCTACCTTCCAGCAGGTACTCTAATAGGGAAGAGGCTTGTTTATACTTAGAGGAGAAAAGAGATGATGTAAAGAAACAGTTTCAACAGTATACTGTATGCCAGAGATAAACAGGAATTTTACAAGGTCCCTGGAAAGACCTTAACTTGGACTCCATAAGTCACAGTAGTCTTCTTAAAGGAAGTAGACCTTGAGTTGTGGCTATTTTCAAAGGCTGCCTATAAAAATGAGATCTGTTATGTACTTTCTAACCATATTTCTGTCTTTATTCTCTTCCAAATAAGAGACCCTTGTCTGTGCCTATTCTGTAATTCTCCTGCTTCCTGCAAAAATGTTTTTTTCTAGAGGAGGTAACTAATATTTGTTGAACTTTATTTTATAAAATTTAATCCTCTCATCAACTCTATGAGGGTAATATCTTTTTCTGTACTTGAGACATGAGGAAAATGGAGCTTAGAGGTAAACAAGCTTGCTTAGGGTCACACAGCAAGCAAGTGGTAAACCTGGGATATAAACTAGATATCTCTGACTCATAGCTACACTTTGTCCTGCATGTCATGTATATTGCCCTTTCCAGACAACCACTACCTGAAGATGTCTAGAACTCTTGACATCAAGGATTCTTGCTGAGTTATACTGGCTATAACAGTAAACCATAGGTTTTACCAGTGTAAAAACCATGATGGACTGTGGTGTCCAAAAGATTAGAGTTCAGACCCTGGCTCTGGCACTCAGTAGTTTTGTCAGTAATGGCCCCTATCATAAAGGACTCTCCCTGATAAGTGCTCATTTCTTTCTCTAACATTAGCTCTTCCCTTCTTTAAAAGAGTAGCAACCTTTGGGCTTCCATTTCCTCCTCTTTCACATGTTTACAATGGTACTCCATCTACTTTATGGGATTGAGGTGAGAATCAAGTGAGATAATGCAAGTGAAAGGGTTTGAAAAACACAAAGCTCTGTGTAAACGTTAAAGTAATGTTCTCCATTCCCATAGTTCCTTTTTTGCTGCTTCTACTCACTGGTTCAAAACCAATTAACATACCTAAATGACTTTTACCTGTTAATTTGGCTTAGAAAGACCAGATTGCATCTTAGTAAATTAATGGATAAGGTAAACAATTGGCCTTTCCTGTCTGTCTATCAAGACAGAATATATGCTTGGGCCAGACCCTTGGCTGGCTGATCACCACAGTTGCAGCACTTGCACTCTTGACTATCTGTGGCACTGGCAGAGTGTCTCTGCTCCAGTCCATACAGTCAAGTTAAATTGAATGGTAGACTGCAGAGAGGGGAACTGGACTCCATTTCATATATTACTTGCTGGTCTAAAAAGGCATGTTGAGATTCTGTATAGCACGCAAGAGCTGTTACGTCAGTTGGGGTTATGGTGCCTTATCTATCTTGGGTTTTTATTGTTTCAAGATCACCAGTGCAGAATGAGTACCTATTTCAGAAAGGGGCATTGAACTATCTTTTCTTTCAAAACAATTGAGAAGTAGGGTTTGACTAACTTTATATATTATTGCTGTGCAATCTTGTCTCTTTCCCAAATCAATGGTCTAGTATTGATTTCTTTGCTTGTAATAATGCAAAACCAATCTCAAAAGAACAGGTGGCAAGTGATTATATACTGGGAGTTGTTGGCAGGTTGGGAAAGGATGTTTTACACTAAATGCTGAATATAAATGTCTCTTTGAAGACCCTCTGGGCATTTCCAGAAGGCCCAACTGATCGTACAATCTTAGAGGAATAAACTATGAAAACCTGACTTTTGCAGAGATAAGGAAAAGAAGCCAGAAGTTGGCCCATACAAACAACTCCTTTTAGTGTTTGTCTTTTTAAAATATCCACACCCTTAGTGTTCTGTAAAGCACAAGCTTTCACGTTTTTTGCAATATGGATAGACCAAGAATTTTCCACATCTTTTAAGTTCTCATTCCTTTTTGCTTAAGAATTCATTCCTTAATTCATCTTGTCTTCTTTCTCATTGTACTATAAGCGCTCAGGAGGAAGCAAGGTGCTCCTTTGTCACTCTGCTTAGATCTCCTCTGCTAAAAATCCAATTTTATCATACAATCTCTATCTTTTACAAAACATTAGAACACACTTCAGCTGGGTTTTTAATCATCTTTCTTCTGGTTTCCACTGACGTGGTGCTCATTTCCATCAGAGACCACACCAGAATCACCCTTACTTTCTCTCAGTTCTGGAGGCTGGAAAAGCCAAGATCAAGGCCATAATTGACTCCCCTTCTAATGCAGGTCCTCTCACTGGCTCACAATAACCACCCTTTCACTGCATCCTGACATCATCTCGACAGAGCATGCCAACTCTCTGTGTCTCTTCCCTGACCTTACCCCTTAACAGATTCTTTACTCCTATTGCCTCCTTACTGGCCTGTGTGTGTGGCACAGTGGAGATTAGGGCTACAGAATAGGATGGGGTGGGAAGACTAACAGTTCAGGCCATAGGAGGAGTTGTGTTTGCTTTTGCTCTAAAGTAGGCAGTTTTAACTCAGGACTTCTCCTGAATTTATACATTTTCCTATTTCATATTCATTCTTATTTTTATTCACCATAAATAGCTTCATTAGTTGTATTGATCTTAAACTAAAAGGCATTATAGTTCAAAGTAAAGAGCTTTGGCATCATCTGCCCTGCACTCAAGTTCTGACTCTTGTCTTTCTGTATTCTTAAGCAGGTAATCATATAACCTCTCTTGATTTTCACATTGGTGTATACCGACTGCCCTGCCTACTTCATAAGATTGTTATAATGTTCATATTTATGTAGTGAAAGTGCTTTTAAGCTGGAAATGGTGGTGCATCCCTGTAATTCCAGAATTCTGAGACACTGAGACAAGAGGATCGTAAGTTTGACCCTTATCAAGACCCTGTCTCAAAATAAAAAGTAAAGGGCTGGGGATGTACCTCAGTGTGAAAGCCCAGAGTCTAGTCTCCAGAATGAAAAAAAAAAATTCTTTTTATGAACTATAAATTACATATAAGACTTAATAAAATGTGTTGTTATTAATAGAAAATTACTGCTCCATATTCTATAGATCACTATTATTTTTTAATATTTAGCAGATTTAGATAGGTTCTGCATGTATTTTCTTTCTCATTACTTCAAATATATAAACTTTTTTTTCCTTAAATTTATGAGAGAAGACTATAAAGTGTTACAGCCTCAAGAACGTGGTGCTGCCAAAAATCAGGAACAAATTAAGTGTCTGGTATTAAAGAAAGAATTAAATAAATTGTGGCACATCAGCCCAATGGAATGTTTGTAGCCATTAAAAGTGGTGATTATAAGTACTATATAAAATGAAAAACATTTGTTGTAAAGTCTCATAGAATGCTAAATAGAATGATCATAACTTTTTAAAAATTGACCTGCAAAATGGCAATATTTAAATAATTCCTGTGTTAGAGTGGTGGTAACTACAGATGATTTTTATTTTGTATAAAAATATCATTAGGTCTTTTCAATGAAAAACACTGAAGTGTTAGAGGTTTGGAATCATTTCATGCTGTTTCTTGAAGGCACAGGTCTCCCTATTCATTTCTGTAGTCCTATCCTCTAGCATAAATTATAAATAGCTCCTATTTCATGCTTCCTGGCTTTTGCAAAAGCTGCCTCCTCTATCTGGACTGCCCTTCTGGGAGGCAGTGTGATACAGTGAAGAATCTTTGCATTGTGATCTGCAGACAACCTATTTCAGAATCACCTGAGAGTCCTCATTTAAAACATAATTTCCTTGCCTCCATCCCAGGCCCACAGTCAAAATCACAGGGAAGGAGGCCTGGGAAACTGCATTTGTAGTAAGTACCCCTGCGTGGTTCCCACATACAAAATGGCTAAGAGCTAGGCTTTTAAGTTAGACCTCGGTTGTTTTTTTGTTTGTTTTTGTTTTTTTGAGACAGGGTCTTGCTACATAGCCTACACTGTCCTTGAACTCATAGCAGTCTTCCTGAATCAGCCTCCCAAACGCTGGGATTACAGGTGTGCATCACCATACCCGGCTCAGACCTTGGTTTAAATGTGTAGTTTTAGCTACATATTAGCTATGTTGCGTTAGCCCAGTTACTTGCCTTTTCTAAGTCCAGTGTCTTTGTCTATAAAATGAAAAAAACCACTTTATTCTTCTTAAAGCCAGTGTAAAAAAAAAAATCACAGGTGTCAACGTAAACCTAGTGATATACAGTACTCAGAGCATCACTTGGAACAGCGTGAAGTGTTCCATAAATGGTAGCTATTTATTCCTCCATTTTCATGTACCAAGAAAGTACCTAGTCTTAAAGAATCCAGTTCTGTGATCTCCTGAGTACCTGCTGATAGCTCTTTCCTATATATCTGCAAGGTACCTGGAGGATTTCTCTACCATTGTAGGATTGTGCTGAGTTGTACAATTAGGCAGAACTACTGTATACAATTATAGGAACATGCCTTCCCTCCCTGCTGTTACATCTGACCTTCTCTGTGGCAGGGACTGTGGCTTATTAATCCTTACATTCTCAGCATCTGATACATCATGTACATAGTGGGCATCCAACAAATGCTTTGACCTTTCAAAACAAACATTTAGTGTTTAAAACATTGTGATACTTGTGCGGATTTACAGAAATACATATGAGTATGACAAAGTCTTGCCTTCAGGGAGCTTTTATTCCAGTGAGAGAGACAAAAGCATAAACTACTCTTAAGTTTCAGAGTGGTCTGCAGAGATATAAAGATGAACAGAGACTAAAGGACCCAAGACGTCATTAACACTTATCTCAGGCCCAATAAGAAAAGGACTCTGGGGCCAGGGATTTAGCTCAGTGGTTCCGCCGCCTGCCTCGCAAGTGCAAGGTCCCAAGTTCAGTATCCGGTACCAAAAAAA